GGGGGCACAGAGCCCGGGGGCAGGGAGGCTCCCGCGGCCCGCCGGTAGGTACCGGCACCGGGGCGGGAGGGGGCACAGAGCCGGGCGACGGGGCCCCGGCGCGGCCCTTCCCGCGGGTTTACAGCAAGTGCCGGGGTCGGGGGGGTTCCCACCCTTCCCGGGAGCCGGTGCCCGTGGCGGTTTCCCCCCCGCTCCCGCTCGGCTCTCCCGGCTGCGCCTGCCGGCCCGCCCCGGCACCTCCCGCCGCTCGGCGGGGAGACCCGGGGAGCCTGTCCCCGCTCGGCGGGGGCAGCAGGGCTCCCCGCGGCCTTCCCGGTCCCTCGGTTCGCCGGGAGCCGTCCTGCTGGGAAGCGGCGATGTGTTACCGGGCGGAGCGGGCACTAACTCGCCGGCCCCCGGATACCGGCTCCTGCCCGCGGGTTTAGGGGATCCTGCGCCCTCCCCGTCTCCCCCCCCCCCCCCCACCCTCGCCGTTCCCCCTCGCCCCGTTTTTCCCGGTGGAGCGTGTCGCATCATTCTCGCCTCCCAGCCCGCACTTCGATCCCGGCGGTTTGCGGTGCCGGGCTCCCGCCGCTGCCGCAGAGCCGGTGCGGGGCCGGTGCTGCCCCGATCCTCGCCCCAGCGCGGCTGGAATCTGATAAACTCCGGGGCCGTGGAAGTTAAATGGTGCCGGGCTCCGGGACCGGCGCTTCGGGAGCCGCGGCGGGGAGGCACGGCACAAGTGCGGGTCTGATAGCGCAGCCCCCCGATGCACCGGGGGACATTCCCGGGGTACTGCCCGCGCTTTGGGGTGTCGCTGCTCGGCTGGCAGCGGAGCCTGTTTGCTGGCGCCGAGGATCTGTGGAGCTGCTGGAGAACGTGCCTGAGTGACACGCGAGAACGGAATTTCCTCGTCCTCGCGCTTTATTTCTGTGTTTTGCCTCAAAAAAACATCCCGACCGCAGGTTTATTGCCCCGATGTGCACAGCTGGCGAGGGCTAGAGCACAGCTGGCAAGGGCTGGAGCGCGGCGAAGGGCCGCTCTGCCCAGCGGGCTGCGGAGTTTCTGAGAGGGCGAACGGCTCTGATTGCTCCGTCATTCCCTCAAGTCCGGACACGCCGGCGTTAATGGCTCCTGCCCTTCCTGGCTCTCTCCCAGGCCTCCTCAGCCAGCCCGAAACCTCGGCTGAGCCTTTGTTGTCGGAAGGCGGCTTCAAGGAGACCGGCTCTGCCGGAGGAGCCGCCGCAGCCGGGCGGGAGCTGGCACAGCGCTGCCCGCCGGAGCACGGGGCGCTGCCGGCTCCCGGGTGGCAGGGGGGCATCGCCGGGCAGCGGCTGGCAAAGCCGGGAGGTGCCACCGACCCGTCAGCCTGCCTTCGGGGGGGCGTCGAGCGCGGGCTCGAGCTGCTCCTTGACCCTCCCGATGTGGTCAGCAGTGCCCCTTCTGCCCGCACCCCCCGCTCCGGCAGCAGCAACCCTCGCTCCGTGTCGGAGCTCACTCCGGCTCCCGCGGGTGCCGTGGGCTCTGTGCTGAGGTTGTCACTGCTGCATTTTGCCGGCGAGGAGCAGACTCGAGGCTCCTCGCTTGGCTCCTGCCCCCGACCGAGGGGTAGCACCACCGGCCACGGCACGGAGGGCGAGGGGCTGGCCCCGGCAGCGGTGCTGGAAAGTGCGCCGAGGGGGTGTTCCTTGAGGATGCTCCTGGAAATAGACAGCGAGTGGGATAGGAGTACGAGGAGGAAGGAAGAATTCACGCCAGTGGCAGCAGCAGCTGCTTCAGTTCAGGCAGGTGGTTACAGAGCCCTGGGTGTGTCGGCTGCGATCGGAGCCGGGTCCTGCAGAGCCTTCCACGGCGGCAGGGAGGCCGTGCGTGTGCACAGCCCTCATCCATCCTGCTTTGGAAGTGCTGCTTTGGAGAAGAAATGGAGCTGCAGTGGGTGATAAATCCCTGCCTTGCAGAGCGTGCTCTGGGCGAGCCGTGCTGGCCTCTGTGGCACAGGCACGGCTCTGGGGTGTGCCAGCAGTGTGTGTTGGTGTGTGTGCATGTCTGTGTTTGTGAGCAGGGTGGGATCGGCCCTGGGACTACACAAGATTGATAAATGACTTATTTTTAAAACTGGGGTTATGTTGTCTCCTGCTCATCCCCTCTAGGGATGGAGAGATGTTTCCAAACCCTCACTGAGGTTTTCCCCTGGGCTCTCTGTGGGTTTCTGAGCTGTTGGTCGGGGCCACTGTAGTGGGGAGGGGGGTTTGAGCCTGTTATTGCTTGGGTCAGACCCTGGCTTGGGGGAGTCAGCACATCTCAGAGGCTGGTCATTGGTGAGACTGTGGCTCTCAGCTGTCCCATCAGAGATGCTGGAACCAGAACTATCTCTGCAGGCTGCACAGCCGGTTCGTTAAGCAAAGCTGATGAGCACTGTGATTATTTTGTACCTCTGGAGGGAGTTGCTGCTGCCGATAACAAACCCCCCCTTCTGTAACAAACCCACCTTTGCCTGCTTAGAATCCCTCCAAGGCTGGTACTCCCCTGGTTGGGGCGAGAGGGTCTGTGGCTGCTTCCCTGAGCTCCCTCCTGTGGAGTGAAAGCCTTGGGGAGGCTGGAGCCTATGTGGCTGCTTTTCCTTGTTTTTGATGTTCTTCCCCTGGAAAACAAGTGTGTGTTGGAGCCTAATGAGTTCCTAGCTGTACTGTCATCTTGTGCAAACGAGCAGCTCTGTCAGCCCCTCTGATTAGTGAGTGGACACGTGGGGACGCCGATGATTGGCCTCAGGCTGCTGCTTCCAGCGCCCTCTCTTGCTGCTGTGGAGCCTGGATCCCAAAAATGTCAGGGCAAGAAGGTCAGCAGTGGGAGAATGGGGTGTCTGTGTGGCGCTGAAAGGCGCCTTGTGCTGTGTGAGGGCGGGGGGCTCTGTCAGCGTGGGGAGAGCGTCTCACCCCTTGGATCCTGGGCGCCTGCCTGTGTTCTTGCACAGTGCTGGAAACATTTGGTTGGATCTTTGTGCCAGCAGCCCTGGGCCTGCCTTACCCATGGGTGTAGGGAGGGGGACAGTACCGAGCCCTGAGCGTTTGGCTTGGGAGGACATGGGGCAGAGCTAGGCATGCTGCAGCCCTGGCTTTTGGGGTGCCAGGGGTAGGGCCCTGCGTGGCAGCTTTGGCATCTGGTCCCAGCCCCTGGCCCCCGGAGCGTGGCCGGCAGCAGAATGGCCCCTTTTGTGCCTCTGGACATGCTGCCCTTTCTCAGGAAACAGCCAATTGTGCTCTCTGGCAGTGCTGGGCTCTGTCACCACCTCCACTCTGGCCCTGCCTTGTGTCCAGGCCCTGTGGCCAGGCAGTGGCCAGGATGGGGACAGCCTTGCCCTAGCTTAGCTGGGGCTCCCGGCTCACTGCTGGGGGGAAGGCAGCCCCCAGCAAGGCCCACCAGCAGCAGGGAGAGGAGCAGGTTGCTGGCCCTCGGTACCACTGCAGTGTGAGGATGGAGCTTGGTGACAAAAAGCTGGTGCAGCCAGGGCTGGTGGGAGGTCAGACTGAACCACTTTTCATCTCTTCTCTGTGCAGTCTCAGCCCTGGTGCTGATTGGCCTCTGTGCAGCTCACTGGTCTCCATGTCACCATGGGCTTGGTTTCCTCCCTGAGCAAACAAACCTGACGTTCCCTGGGTGCAGGAGGCATCCCTGTGTCACTCTGTCTCCTGCTCCTCTCTTGCCTTTGGAGTCCTCGCTCAAGCTGTCATCCCTCTCACAGAATCATAGAATGTGCTGAGTTGGAAGGGACTCATCAGGATCATCAAGCCCAACCCTGCTCAGGACACCCCGAAAATCCCACCCTGTGCCTGAGAGCATTGTCCAAACACTTCTTGGACAGGCTTGGTGCTGTGACCACTTCCCTGGGGAACCTGTTCCAGTGCTCTGCCACCCTCTGGGTGAAAAACCTTTTCCTGAGGTAAACCTCTTGTCCCTGTCTGTTAAATTGAAGTAGAAACAGCTTGTGGAGGGTGATTCCCGATGGAAACTTTATTATTGAAGCTGTTCTGGCTGGGAGGTCCCAGTGAGGAGCTGCTGCAGGAGCCCGATGTGGCTGCCAGGTCTTCCTGACTGGGTGGTGGCAGCTGGTTTGCTTCCTTTTGGGTATTTCCCGTGGGATTTCCGCCCTTGGACAGGAAGAGGGTGTGGATGGGGTCTGGTTGGAATGTGCCAGAGCAGCCTGTGAATGGATGGGGACGCTGCTGTCACCATGTGTGTTAAAGTGCTGCTGAGTTTTTTTACACTCACTAGAGAGACTGAAGGGAAATGGAGGGGGGGGGGGGGGTTGTGTGGGATTTTTGTTTGTCTTTTTGGGGAGCTGGAGTTTTTGATTTTTCTGGGATATTTTTTATGGGTGTTGTAGTTGGATGCTGTAAGCTCTCAGGTCTCAAAACTGTGTATTTTGTAGATCTCAATGTCTGGACTATCATCTCGAGGGGGAAGAGGAAAACACAGAGGCTTGTAAAAAGCCAGCGTGAGAAATAAATGGGAACTTGCTGCATCAATGAGGCTCTGAGGGCAGATGCCAGGGATGTGTGTTGCAGCCATGCAGGAGCACGTGTACCAGGACTGTGTGCCAGCTGTGTTGGGGTCCCACAGCTTTGCCCGCTTTCCGTGGGATCCTGAAATGAAATGGGCTCCATGCCTCTGCAGAACGTCATTACTCTTGTTTATAACTGAAATTTGTGTCTAAGAGGGAAATGAATTGCTCAGTCTGTTTGTTTATTCCTCGTTTTGCAGACACAGGAACTAGACTACGTTGGGGTAATGGCCTAGAAATTAAATTTCACTTTAATGCACAAACCCAATTTTGAGTTGGTTGACCGAAGAGGAAAAAATTAGCTTCAGGCAGGAGGCAGAGGCCTGGCTGGAGCAGGGTTCAGGCCCAGTGCAGTCAGTGTGAGCTGGGGAAGATCTGTGGGGGTACAGGGGAGGTGGGGATGTGTCAGCCCTCTGAGGTGCAGCCTGCAGGATCCTCTGACAGCACAGCAGGGATATTGAGGAATAAATTAGCTTTTTGCAGTTTCAAAGAGACACAGAGAGGCTT